ATTTTATTTTAAAATGCAATATTTCACAAAATTAGTTTGTTTTTTTCTGTATTTTGGATCAAATAGATACAGCCTTGATGAGCATAAGAGACTTATTTAAAAAATAATAATAATAATCTTACTGATCCCAAACTGTTGAATGGCAGTGTACACACACACACAAATATATGGAACTTGATTATTTGAGATGTAAAGCCCTGTTGTTTCCCATTACAGAGTATACACCCTCATCCATGTGGTCTCGTACAGAAGCACAGAGAAAGACTACAAAGAAAAAGATGAGGCGAGTAACTGTGCTTTTTTTGTGCTGCCATTTAGCCATGATTCAGGCTGCATATGAATTTCCTTCTAAGAAGTGGACTGCATTTTTACATTGATGTAAACTTGGATTAGCACATTGTTTTTACAATGTTTTTGTTCATCGCAGGAGGACGAAGAGGAGGGATTGATCCTGGGGAATCCCGTTAATCTTACCGTCACTGCTGACGACTTGTGAAACGCTGATTCTTTCGCTCCTAGTTAATGAAGTTACAGGTGAAGTGAATGATTTCTCATGCATGAAGAAGAAGAAGCAGCCAGAGCAACACCACATGCCTGAAACTGGAGCTGGGATTTGTTTACTGTAGACGTTTGCACTGAATAAACTTCACATTTGTACATGCATTCTCTGAACAATGTATTATCGTTTGATTACTTGCAAGTTAGTTATTTCTGTGTTAATGTATTAGTTTGTCAAATATTAAAAGTTCTGAAACGAAGTGGTCTGGGCAAGCTGGTTTCTGCGGAAAGCACATTTCACTCAATCCTGTCGTCATTTATTCACCCTCATGTTTTTCTAAAAGCTCCATGCCTTTACCGGATTACATGTCATTGACCATTTTCCACATGAATTGAATTATCTCCATTATGACAACAGCATACATGTTATGCAATGTCTTCTGAAGGTCTCTGATAGCTTTGTGTGAAGAACAGATAAGATAGAGAGACAGATAAATATAGTCAAAAGAGCAAAAGCATTATTACGTGTTTTATTTTTTCTCCGTATTCATTTTTAACACACACACTGATCGCATTATGCATGGAAATATATTAATCAAGTATTTCTACATTACATACAAACCATAACCTTCAAAGCTGCGTCACAACCAGGCTTAAAATGTTATGTGTGTAACAGAGAGGAAACAGCATAAAACCAATCATCTATGTTTATGAACGGTTATTTATTGTGTCGAAACTGATCAGATTGGCGGATCTCCTAAGAAGCTTGATCGTGAGCGCTGTGCACATCAACCTTCATCACTTGGCCATCTTCTTCTCCATGCTGAGGAAGACAATGAGAAACAGACCGTATAATAGTCAGACTAGCCTGAACACATAGACCAGATAACACTAGAAATCAGTATGACGTGTGAAAGCTCTTGCTTGTATTTGACGAGTCTGCTGCCCTGAACGAGCTGAGCCGCTTCATTGGTGAAGTGGCAGGCGAACAGAAGCCAGTTTCTGGGCTGGACCTTGTAGGCGAAGCGCATGAACAGCAGCGAGTAGCAGGTGAGAGCTGGGAAAACAAGAGCGAAAACACCTCCGTTGACCTTTGACCTCACAGTATCGGTCTGTTGCGCAAGCTGCCGCTCTGTCACATACCGAAGGTCATTCTGCCGCTGATGATCTCTGGACTCTTCTTCATGTCGCTGATGGCGGCGATGGGCAGGCCCCAGTTTGCCACCGGGCCCCAGAAATGCTGGAATAACATGACACACGAAGCCTGTAACAACCGCACATGTGCGTGCTATGAGCCTTGATTAGATTACACCGTGATGCTGAGGACTTACTGTGCTGAGGCGAGTGAAGGTCCCACAGGAGGAGCGGGTCGATCGTGAGAGGAAACCATCGTCACAGTCAGGAAGTTAAAACAAGCACTTTCTTAATCACAACCAAATACAACATATTCCATACAGATTACCAATGTACAACAGCAAGCGTCTGGTCGTTCAAAACAAACAGACACGAAGACAAAAACTGGCTTGATTTAATTTAAAAAAAACAACGGCGCTGTAACGTTTTTACAAAATGTAAAATTATTTACTAAATAAAGCTCTTAGAACAACGTTAAACGTAGTCAATAAAGACACTTTCCTGCCATAAAACCAATGCAATGCAAAAAAAAAAATATTTTCTTACTTAGCTATACTAGAAAACAAGACAAAAATACTATGTAAAAATCCCTGAATCAACATGAATTTACTTGACAAGTAAAATGACATAAGATATGTCTTGTTTACTTTAAAACAAGCAAAAATATCTGCCAATGGGGTAAGAAAACAAGACGTGATATCTTAAGTCGTTTTACTTGTCAAGTAACTGCATCTTGATTCAAGAACGTATAGACATTTATACTAGAAACAAGACAAAACACTAAGAATAGCTTTTTTTGCAGTGTGTAATGAACACTTGAGTAACAACGTGAAGATGCTTTTATTCCACTGACAGTTTGACTGAGGATAACGCTGTGTTAATTCAAGCGATTCCAATGTCATCATAAGGAAAACACTACAAAATACAAATAAACACCCAGGCTTCACACATGGTCAAATGTTTCTGATGTAACGGATGTTTGTGAGCGTGGCTCAGTGGCGCCGCCCTCAGGCTCTCAGCGGCACTGCAGCACTGTCCTTCACACCGTAGATATGTAGTTTATATACACACACACACACATTCATATCAACGCTTCACACGCTCCGAGCGCTTTTCTGCGTTTATTACGAACGCTGTTCACACGCGGTTCAGCGCGGTAACGTTAATCCTCACACATCCACACGGTTTGACTCGTTACTGACCTCGTGAGGTAATCTCTGAACTCTTTACTGCGGAGATGATCCACGGCTTTTCGCGCCAGAGTTCCTGCCATTGTCCGTCAGGAGATGATTAAAGGACGAAGTGAAGTAAACAGTAAACACTGCTCGCTGCTGCAGCTACGCGACGTCAACTAGAGGACAGAGTCACGCCGCCGCGATGACGTCATTTCCTGCGTAAACATGTACTCCGTGCAAATGTAAAGTCCTCAGATCGCTGAAAACACAGGTTTAGATACACTTGTCAAGGAGTATTTGATGGTAATTAATGCCATTCGCTCAGAACTTAGAAAATTATAAGGAAATGGTATAGATGAAAAAAACTAATTTATATTTTAGTCTTAAACTGGGAGGAATAAATATAAAATGTAAACAACAACAACAATAAATGTAGTAATAATTATCTTAGAACAATTTGCCGTATTTCCAGTGTTCCCTTAGCCATTGGGTTTTGGAGATCACAATTTCAAGATGTCAACTGGAAAGAGAGCTTTAAGATCTCTCCAGGCGTTTTGTATCACAAATAACATTAGAGAGGTTTCGTTTAAGATTGTTCATCGTATTTATTCTGTAAAACAGCGAATTGCAAAGTTTTGTAAAGACATTGACTTAAAGTGTGTTTTCTGTAAAGAGGAAACTGAGAGTGTTGTCTTTTATTTTTTTATTGTTTTTATACATATTTATTTATTTATCGTTAAACAAAGTACTAAGATTGAATTGCACCTCAAAGAAAAGGATGTTTGGTGTATATAGTGAATTTACTCATTATATATGGAACATTCTTCATCCACAAATGTAAATGGGAAGTGAAAAAAACAAAACAAATTTGACTAATTTTAAAATAGAAATATGTCACTACTACCTGTATACATTAAAAGAAACCAGAAATAACAAAGCGGGGAAAAAAACTTAAAGCCTTAAATCTATTGTTTGAACAATTTGTAACAATTTGTACTTGTTATGGAAATGTGATCTTCTTATTGCTTTTTATATTTTATTATTTTTTAATTGTCTTTGTTTATTTTTTTTGTATTTGTTTTGATGTAGCCTAATTTATATGTTGTTGTTGTTGTTATTATTATTAACAGCAAAATCATTAGAAATCCAATTTACTAGGTTTACATTGTGAAAGTTTTCACGTTTACGACAAACAACCAATAACAGAAACTCTGCACTGTCATTGGCTGTCGTGAAACACGTGGTCAGGTCGTGACGTGTGACGTTGAGCGGAAGTAAAGATGGCGCTGGACTGCTCGTCCACGTATGTGATGGCTCATAATAACTCATACCACAGTCATGTTTCTGATTATTACAGCAGAAAACTGAGCAACAAACCCGACGTAGTGCCGTCTGGAGTCACCGAGAGGAAAGTGTCGCCCTCAGATAAACCTGACATGGTGGCGCTGGACGTGATTAGCATCAAGGACTCGGGTGAGAGACAGAAATCACGGAAGATCTACACTCACACACACACACTCACACACATGCACTCACTCACTCTCACACTCACACGCACTCACACACATGCACACACTCTCACTCACTCTCACACTCACACGCACTCACACACATGCACACACTCTCACTCACTCTCACACTCACACGCACTCACACACATGCACACACTCTCACTCACTCTCACACTCACACGCACTCACACACATGCACACACTCTCACTCACTCTCACACTCACACGCACTCACACACATGCACACACTCTCACTCACTCTCACACTCACACGCACTCACACACATGCACACACTCTCACTCACTCTCACACTCACACGCACTCACACACATGCACACACTCTCACTCACTCTCACACTCACACGCACTCACACACATGCACACACTCTCACTCACTCTCACACTCACACGCACTCACACACATGCACACACTCTCACTCACTCTCACACTCACACGCACTCACACACATGCACACACTCTCACTCACTCTCACACTCACACGCACTCACACACATGCACACACTCTCACTCACTCTCACACTCACACGCACTCACACACATGCACACACTCTCACTCACTCTCACACTCACACGCACTCACACACATGCACACACTCTCACTCACTCTCACACTCACACGCACTCACACACATGCACACACTCTCACTCACTCTCACACTCACACGCACTCACACACATGCACACACTCTCACTCACTCTCACACTCACACGCACTCACACACATGCACACACTCTCACTCACTCTCACACTCACACGCACTCACACACATGCACACACTCTCACTCACTCTCACACTCACACGCACTCACACACATGCACACACTCTCACTCACTCTCACACTCACACGCACTCACACACATGCACACACTCTCACTCACTCTCACACTCACACGCACTCACACACATGCACACACTCTCACTCACTCTCACACTCACACGCACTCACACACATGCACACACTCTCACTCACTCTCACACTCACACGCACTCACACACATGCACACACTCTCACTCACTCTCACACTCACACGCACTCACACACATGCACACACTCTCACTCACTCTCACACTCACACGCACTCACACACATGCACACACTCTCACTCACTCTCACACTCACACGCACTCACACACATGCACACACTCTCACTCACTCTCACACTCACACGCACTCACACACATGCACACACTCTCACTCACTCTCACACTCACACGCACTCACACACATGCACACACTCTCACTCACTCTCACACTCACACGCACTCACACACATGCACACACTCTCACTCACTCTCACACTCACACGCACTCACACACATGCACACACTCTCACTCACTCTCACACTCACACGCACTCACACACATGCACACACTCTCACTCACTCTCACACTCACACGCACTCACACACATGCACACACTCTCACTCACTCTCACACTCACACGCACTCACACACATGCACACACTCTCACTCACTCTCACACTCACACGCACTCACACACATGCACACACTCTCACTCACTCTCACACTCACACGCACTCACACACATGCACACACTCTCACTCACTCTCACACTCACACGCACTCACACACATGCACACACTCTCACTCACTCTCACACTCACACGCACTCACACACATGCACACACTCTCACTCACTCTCACACTCACACGCACTCACACACATGCACACACTCTCACTCACTCTCACACTCACACGCACTCACACACATGCACACACTCTCACTCACTCTCACACTCACACGCACTCACACACATGCACACACTCTCACTCACTCTCACACTCACACGCACTCACACACATGCACACACTCTCACTCACTCTCACACTCACACGCACTCACACACATGCACACACTCTCACTCACTCTCACACTCACACGCACTCACACACATGCACACACTCTCACTCACTCTCACACTCACACGCACTCACACACATGCACACACTCTCACTCACTCTCACACTCACACGCACTCACACACATGCACACACTCTCACTCACTCTCACACTCACACGCACTCACACACATGCACACACTCTCACTCACTCTCACACTCACACGCACTCACACACATGCACACACTCTCACTCACTCTCACACTCACACGCACTCACACACATGCACACACTCTCACTCACTCTCACACTCACACGCACTCACACACATGCACACACTCTCACTCACTCTCACACTCACACGCACTCACACACATGCACACACTCTCACTCACTCTCACACTCACACGCACTCACACACATGCACACACTCTCACTCACTCTCACACTCACACGCACTCACACACATGCACACACTCTCACTCACTCTCACACTCACACGCACTCACACACATGCACACACTCTCACTCACTCTCACACTCACACGCACTCACACACATGCACACACTCTCACTCACTCTCACACTCACACGCACTCACACACATGCACACACTCTCACTCACTCTCACACTCACACGCACTCACACACATGCACACACTCTCACTCACTCTCACACTCACACGCACTCACACACATGCACACACTCTCACTCACTCTCACACTCACACGCACTCACACACATGCACACACTCTCACTCACTCTCACACTCACACGCACTCACACACATGCACACACTCTCACTCACTCTCACACTCACACGCACTCACACACATGCACACACTCTCACTCACTCTCACACTCACACGCACTCACACACATGCACACACTCTCACTCACTCTCACACTCACACGCACTCACACACATGCACACACTCTCACTCACTCTCACACTCACACGCACTCACACACATGCACACACTCTCACTCACTCTCACACTCACACGCACTCACACACATGCACACACTCTCACTCACTCTCACACTCACACGCACTCACACACATGCACACACTCTCACTCACTCTCACACTCACACGCACTCACACACATGCACACACTCTCACTCACTCTCACACTCACACGCACTCACACACATGCACACACTCTCACTCACTCTCACACTCACACGCACTCACACACATGCACACACTCTCACTCACTCTCACACTCACACGCACTCACACACATGCACACACTCTCACTCACTCTGACACACACATGCACTCACACACACACACACTCACTCTCACACACACACACATGCACTCACACACATGCACACACACACACGCTCTCTCACACACACACATGCACTCACACACACACACACACTCACACACACACTCACTCTCACAC